TGAGCAAGGCGAGACCCCGTGTCTTACTATAAAACCAGAAAGAATAATTGGCCAACTGATATTGTATGTATATAAAAAATTTAGCCGGCATGTGGCATCCAGCCTGTAGTCCCAGCTACTCGGGGAGGGCTGAGGGAGAAGGAACGTCGAGCCAGATGAGCTTTGGAGGTTGCTGTGAGCTGGCTGACGCCACCTGGCACTCACTCTAGCCTGGACAACAAAAAAAAAAAAAAAAAAAGTAAAGCTAATAATACTTCCTCAGTTGATTACATTGCAAAACATATTATATATGATAAATACATCTAATTTTTATTTGTCAATTAAAAAATTAAATTAAAACAAATTGGTTATGCAGTGGTGGCCTGTGGTAGGCAATCAAAAAGTCCTGTTCTGATGCTAAAGAGCCAAGGTGAGCACCAAGTGGACCCCAGCCTCCCAGAGCTCACACTCACCTATGATTTTATCAGAAGCATTACAAGCAAGGGCAAAGCGAGTCGTCTTAGAATAGATTTCCATGGTTCTCCTCAAGGCTTGCTGGGCCCCATCAGTCATGCTGGGAAGAAACACACAAGGAGTCAGTTTGCAATTGGGCCACTGGACACAAATCCTTCCCTATACGAAAACCCAGCACATAGGATAGTATCCTAGATGGGGTCTCATAAGTAAAGCAGGCCACCTCACAAATGCTAACCCCCACCCCAAGCCACTCTCTCAAAGACTGCCCAGATGATATTTTAGTACCTACAACAACCAGAAACAACCCCTAAAAACCCACCATCTACAGTGGCTGCCATCATATTTGCAGGAACCAGGCCTCCCTTCAGCTCCTCCGTGATATAAAATTCAAGAGAAGAGCTATAACATCAGCTGCCAACTTTTCTAACCAAGCCCTGCCTGAGTGTGGGCAGCCCCTGGAGGAGCCCATGGCGGGGTGGTTCTCACACAGGCAGGCTGCACACGGGTGCAGGGCAGAGCTGTTTCTGGATGCTGTCGGTACTGCTTTTCCTCCTGATTTAATAAAGCCCCAAAAGAGATCTAGAGATCAAGGTCAAAAGACATTTGGCGGCCGGGCGCTGTGGCTCACGCCTGTAATCCTAGCTCTTGGGAGGCCGAGGCGGGCGGATTGCTCAAGGTCAGGAGTTCAAAACCAGCCTGAGCGAGACCCCGTCTCTACCATAAAAATAGAAAGAAATTAATTGGCCAACTAATATATATATATATATATATATAAATCAGCCGGGCATGGTGGCTTGTGCCTGTAGTCCCAGCTACTCGGGAGGCTGAGGCAGGAGGATCGCTTGAGCCCAGGAGTTTGAGGTTGCTGTGAGCTAGGCTGACGCCACGGCACTCACTCTAGCCTGGACAAACAAAAGTGAGACTCTGTCTCAAAAAAAAAAAAAAATTAAACAAAATTACCATAGCATGCAGCAATTCCACTCTGGGTATACACCCAAAAGAACTGAAAGTAGGGTCTCAAAGAAGTACTTATACATCCAGGTTCATAGCACCATTATTCAAAATAGCTGGAAAATGGAAGCAACTCAAGTGTTCATTGACAGATGGATAAACAAAACATGGCATAAACACACAATGGAATATTATTCAGCCATAAAAAGGAAGGAAATTCTGACACATGCTACAACATGGATGACCATCAAGGATGCTACGCTGAGTGAAATAAGCCAGTCACAAAATGACAAATACTGTATGATTCCACTTATATGAGGTACCTAGAGTAACCAAATTCATAGCAATAGAAAGCAGAAGGGCAATTCCCAGGGGCTGGGTGCTTTTTAATGGGTACAGAGTTTCAGATTTACAAAATGAAAATGTTCTGCCATTTGACTGCACAAAAATGTGAATATATTTAATACTACTGAAGTGTACACTTAAAAATGGTTAAGATGGCAAATTTCATGTTACGTATATTTCACAATTAAAAATAATTTCTGAAAATTTTCATTAAAAAAAAGTAAACAACAAATCAACAAGTAAGCAATTCTCATGCTCTTTCAGTGGGAAGGAAAACACAGCTGGCACGGCAAGCTCCAACCATAACATAGAGCTGAAAAAATGCTGTTTCTGTAACAATTCAAAATGCAAAATGCTCACTACCCTTCCAGCCTATCATTTGTCATTTGTCAATGACCTACCTGTCATTTGAAGCATTGAGTTCCAAGACAGCATCCTTGAGTGCTGGGCCCAGCAGGGCTCGTGCCAAACACAGGATGCTTGTGGTTTTGCCAGTTCCTGGGGGGCCCTGGGAATAAGATCTCCAGTAAGTACTTCGGGCCACCAGAATGACCTCAGGGTAGCTCCTGCTCTAAAGCTCACCACTGTTTGCACCCACCTTCCCTCTGACCCTCTAACCCCCACCACAGCACACACCAGATCAACACAGCTGCCAACCCACAGGCTTCCCGACTAACTTGAGTGAAGTGCTTCCCTTTGCCGGGAGGACTGATGCGACCCCTCTGCAGAGGAAGCACGTATGCAGGCAGGCAAATGACATGCAGAGACACCCAAGAGGACCAGGACTTAGTACTTACGGCAATGATGATATTGGGCACATTCCCTTCTCTTGCAAAGACCTGAGGGAAAAATGTTCATTCAAAATGGTCAATCCTTAAGCTTCATGAACTGATCTCCCTAGCCACACAGGCCCGTGTAGGAAGCATGGCTGCAAAATTCTCCACGTGGATGTTCCATGAACTTCTCACCTCAGCATCCTCATTTCTTTTCTTTTCCTCTTTTTTTCAGAGATGGAGTTTTGCTGTTACCCAGGCTGGAGCTAGAGTACAGGGGCTATTCACAGGGGTGATCATAGCTCACTGCAGCCTCCGACTCCTGGGCTCAAGTGATCCTCCCACCCCAGCCTCCCAAGTAGCTGGGACTACAGAACACCGCCCCTCAGCATATTTGAAACTGAACTCGTCATTCTCCTTTACAAATCTGAGGCCCCACTCATGTTTCCTCTTTCATGGACTGTCCACACCACAAAGCTGAGGTCACTGCCATCTTTGGTTGGCCTCTTCCTCACCCTACACAGCACCTCCATCATAATGTACTATGGCTTTGCCACTCTTCTCCTTCAATTCCATATTCCTTTCTTTCTCTCCAGCCCCATGACTCAGCCTATGTATAGTCTCTCACCTGATTGCAATCCACAGGCCATTAACTGGTCTCCTTGCCTCTAATCTTGCCCCACTGCAATCCATTTCCCATACCATAGACACAGTGACTTTTCTAAAGTGTCTATTAAAAATTTTTACCTAACTGAAACCCTTGGAAGACTTCTTACTGTCCTCACTATAAAGCCCAAACTCTTTATTTTTTTTTTCATTTTTTTCCAGTGATACCGTCACAGAAGAAGCCCAGACTCTTAAACATGGCACACAAGGCCTTGCACGACCTGGATTCTGCCCACCTCCCCAGCTCATTCTCACCCCATCCTAAAACACACTCTTTCCAGCCTTGTTACACACAGTGGACTCCATGGACCCAGACCCACAGTGTCACATCCCCTGTGAGCCTGTGAGACACGCTGTCTCTCTGGCCCCACTCCTGAACTACTGGATCTGAATCTGCATTTAACCAAGATCCCCAGCAATTCATACACCCAAACTCTCTTACCTCTGGGCCTTTGCACATGCTGCTCCTACTGCCTCCCCTCTGTCTGCCCCTATACCCTCCAAACGTGGCCACCTCCCACTCATTCAGCTTTGGTGTCACTTCTCCCACTTGCGGACTAAGTCAGGTTAACTCCTCCTGCCATGCACTCCCATGATACGCTGACTTCCTCTCATAGAGTGCTTATCACAGTACCTGCTGGCTTTAATGTAGGTCCTGTTAGACTGTAAATCTCACAGGGGCAGCAATCATGTGTATTTTGTTCACACAGCAACAGTTCCTAATACTGCATTGGCCCAGAGAAGATACACAAATACTTGCAACACGAATAAATCAAAAGAACCTTGGTAGCTATTAAAATCTAAGCCCTTACTTTCTGTAGAGAGCACCTGTCAAGTCTCACATAGTGGCTTCTAGATCCTGCCTCTAAAGACCTCCAGGGCTAGGAATTCAAAGCTTGCTCTACTGCCGAACATTTCTGCTTGCTCTTCTTTGCGTCACCCTGAAGTCAGCTGCATTATCACTCAGCCATTTAGCTCCTCTAGGCAGGGGTTGGCAAACTATGGCCTGGGGTGAGGACAGGGGTGGAGAGAAGCCATCTTGAAGCCAGTGTTTGTAAGTCTCCTAGCTAAGAATGGTTTTTCCATTTTTAAAGGATTTTTTTTTAAAAAAATAAAGAATATCCGACAAAGACCTTACACGGTTTGCAAAGCCTAAGATATTTATTATCTTGCCTTTACAGAAACAGTTTGCCGCCCCTGCTCTAGGGGAATACAGAACAGGTCTGAGAACCCCTCTCCAATATGCTAGCCCTTCAAGCAACTATCCCCCACAGCTTCCACTCTCCCCCAAACTGAAAGCCTCCCAGTCCCTTAATTCTTCCGGATTTGTTGTTCATCTCCCCCTCACTATCTTGGGTGTCTTCCTCCAAATGCCTCAAGCTTGTCAAAGCTACAATAAGGATAACAGACCATCCTTTAAAAAGTCACTCACCTCCAGCCTGCTCACAGTGTCTTCGTTTCCGACAACTTCATTCAGCTTTACTGGTCTATATTTTTCAACCCTGTTTTAAAGAAAATGCATAAAAATGTTGACATGGCCATTTTCACATTACTCAAAAGAAAGAACTAAAGGGCAATCCTGGACAGTTTTGTCAGAAGATTATAAACATTTAATGCAAATATGCCAAATGGCTGCAAGGTTTAAATTTAAGGAGGTGCCTAAGTGCCATTTGAAAAGTGCATGAGAATTGTACACCAAAGGCTTCAAACCTGCCACAGCAGAGAAACACCTGTGGCTGCTGGAAAAGGGCCAGAGGCAGGCCATCTGGAGCAATGTGACACTGTGCTGCAACACAGTGTGCCTGTCACAACAGAGGCCCAGCACATGCAGAACTGACATCATTTGGTCTGACAGACATGGGTGCAACCGAGCCCCTTTCTCATCCCTTATGTGCTGGTTTCTGCAGACATGTGCCAAGTGCACAGCAGGGCTGGCTAGACAGAACCACAGGCCTACCTTGTGATCCTATTAGGCTGTATGGAGTGGACAGGCCAGTGGCTTATTGAGACCAATAGTTTTCTCTTTTAAATTAAAAAGCAAGCTATGTTATAAGAGAAAAAGGACTTTCTCCAGCTCTGAGAAGTGGTGGTACAATTGCAATGATGTGACCATCAGAACTTCCTCTGCCCTTCATTAAATTCCCTGATTTACCCTCAGCTTGCACAGTGTGCAGGTACTGGTTCTGCTCCAGAAGTAGCTGTAGGCAAAGAGGCTTAGTTGCCACAAACTACAGAAAACAGAGACAGCTCTTCTCCAAGACTAGCAAGTGGAGTAAGCTAGTTCTTACTCATTCTTTATAGTCAGCAGCTTCCAGGTGCCAACCACTATATAAAGAGTTAGAGATCTCAGGAGAGGAAAGTAGATGGTACAGAGACAAGCAAGACATGGTTCTTGCTCTAAAGGGCTTTCCCACTAGCAGGGACATAGAGCTTAGCAAATCCTACTACTGTGCCAAGTTGGTCTGATAAACCAAGGGCTGTGGAAGCCCAGAGGAGGGAAAGAATCACAGCTGGAATGTCAAGAGCTGAAATCTGAGCTGGATTTTGAAGAAGCTTGTTCCTCCTTCAGGGCCTTTGCTTAAGCTGCTCTTCCTCCACACAGCCACAAGGCTTACTCCCCCACTTTGCTCAAATATCAGAGCTCATCAGAGACCTTCCCAGGCCACCACAGCTACTTACTCCACTTAATTTTTCTCCAGAGCACCCATCATCATCAAATACACTGCATATCTACTTGTCTGTTTTTTTTCATTTTGCCATTCTCTACCAAATGTAAGCTCCATGACAACAGAGTTTGTTCTGCTAACTGAAGTATCTCTAGCATCTAGAATAGTGCTGTGCAAGAAAAATATGCAAGTCACATAGGTAATTTAAAATTTTCTGGTAGCCACATTAAAAAGTAAAAAGAAAACCAGTGAAGTTAATTTTAATATTTTGTGAACCTAATATAGTCAAAATATTATTATTTTCAACATGTAATATAAAAGAATGACGGTGATATTTTAAAAATACTAAGTCCGAGTAGTTGGTCCCACCAGGTAGCCCTCACCGTCGTTAGCACTGTTCTGAGCGAGACCCCGCTTGTAGTTCAGACCTGCCACTCTCGACCCCAAAGGAGCTCGGTGACCCACGCCCCTCGCCGCCTCCAACCAGTAACCTCCTCGACGCCACCGCAGGCCCGCAGCTCCCTCAGGATCGCCCCCATCGAGTCCCCGCCCCCGGATCTCCCTCCAGGGCACGGCCCGCCACTCGCCCACCCTCACGTCCGCATGCGCCGACTCTCAGCGGCCTGGGCCCTCACCACGGCAGCTCGTAGTGGCCGGCGCTGCCAGGGGCCTTGCTGGGGGCAGCGGCAGGGTCCTGGGACCCGCACTCGCCCGCGTTACTGCAGCTGGCCTGCACCTCCATTCCCGCGTCTCCTCTTCGCGCCACCCGTGGCCCCGCCCCGTGACGCCGTCACGCAAAGCCCCGCCCCTGCCCCGCCGGGCACGAGCGGAAGCCGCGCGCCTGCCCCTTTCCGCGCCTGCGCAGAGGACTCCGGCCTGGCTGGGTTCCCGTCGCTATGGGCCGCGGTTGCTAAGCGCCGTCTGGCGTCCGGCCTGGGAGCTAGACTGAGGCGAGACACGGCAGCGTTGCCTGGCGAGATCCAGAAATGGACGTTTGTGTGGTTTATCTGGGAGACTCTCCCCGGCGGGGTGGGAGCCTCCTGCCTCGTGCGCGCGAGCAGGAGCGGGTGCCTGTGGCGTTGTGGCCCCCGCGCGGCCCCAGGCGCAGGGACACCGGCGGCGCTGACGTCCGGGCGCACCTGGGATCTGCCGGTGCCCAGTTCTCCGGGTTGCACCGAATGGCCCCATGGGCAGCTCCGGTTGGCTGGGCCTCCGCGCTGAGCCGCGTGTGGTACTGGACGTTTATTATCAGGGAATTCTCTGCTGCAGGACGGGAATTGCCACCCCCACCCCGCCCCATTTTGCAGAAGGGGAAACTGAAACTGTCCCTCTGTCAGGTATAGTTTTCATTCCAGAAACATAGGTACTTCACATTCACAAGTGCTTGGAGCATTCTTGTGGGCTGTTTTTCTACCTATTGAACTAATTTTTCCTCCCATAGCCAAGATGTCATAATTATAATAAATAATGACTATCATTTACTACACCTTTACTATGCGCTAGCCCCAAAGTCAATACTCGTATTATTCTCATTTTGCAAATGGAGACATAGGCTTGGGAATGATGAAATGATTTGTCCAATGTCATTTAGGTTGTCAGTGGTGGCGCCAGGATTCATTCCCCCACAGTGTTGCCAAAGCTCTTCATAGAAAATTCAGTTTTACTGCACATACCATATTGCATTATAATTTCAGGGTAGACCGGGCGTGGTGGCTCACACCTGTAATCCTAGAACTCTGGGAGGCGGAGCAGAAGGATTCCTTGAAGCCAGGAGTTTGAGATGAGCCAGAACAAAAGTGAGACCCAGTCCCCACTAAAAGAAAAATTAGCCAGGCGTGGTTGTACCTGTAGTCCCAGCTACTCTGGAGGCTGAGGCAGGAGGATCGTTTAAGCCTAAAAGTTTGAGGCTGCAGTGAGCTGTGATAACGTTGCTGCACTCTACCCCAGACGACCTAATGAGACTCTGTCTCAAAAAAAAAATAATAGGGCTCTGCATCACGCTGCCATGATGGGCCATCATCCTGTTCTAGTCCTTAGCCAGAACACAAAGTGTGAATCCAGAAGAAAAGTTCAATCTGGAAACATCAATGCTGCCAAGACCATTGCAGATATCATCCGAACATGTTTGGGACCGAAGTCCATGATAAAGATGCTTTCGGCCCCAATGGGAAGCATCATGATGACCAATGATGCCATTCCAATGGGAAGCATCATGATGACCAATGGCAATGCCATTCTTCGAGAGATTCAAGTCCAGCATCCAGCAGCCAAGTCCATGATTGAAATTAGCCAGACCCAAGATGAAGAGGTTGGAGATGGGACCACATCAGTAATTATTCTTGCAGGGGAAATGTTGTCTGTAGCTGAGCACTTTCTAGAGCAGCAGATGCACCCAACAGTGGTCATCAGTGCTTACCGCAAGGCATTGGATGATATGATCAGCACCCTAAAGAAAATGAGTACCCCTGTTGACGTCAATAACCATGATAGGATGCTAAACATCATCAACAGCTCCATTACTACCAAACCAATCAGTCGGTGGTCCTCTTCAGCTTGCAGTATTGCCCTGGATGATGTCAAGATTGTACAGTTTGAGGAGAATGGCCGGAAGGAGATTGACATAAAAAAATATGCAAGGGCAAAAAAGATATCTGGGGGTATCATTGAAGACTCATGTGTCCTACGTGGAGTCATGATCAACAAAGATGTGACCCATCCACTAATACAACGCTATATCAAGAACCCTTGCGTTGTGCTGCTAGATTCTTCTCTAGAATACAAGAAAGGAGAAAACCAGACTGACATTGAGATTACACGAGAGGAAGACTTCACTCAAATCCTCCAAATGGAAGAAGAGTGAATCCAACAGCTCTGTGAGGACATTATCTGACTGAAGCCCAATGTGGTCATCACAGAAAAGGGCATCTTAGATTTAGCTCAGCACTACCTCATGGGGGCCAATATCACAGCCATCTGCAGAATCCGGAAGACAGACAATAATTGCATTGCTAGAGCCTGTGGGGCCTGGATAGTCAGCCAACCAGAGGAACTTAGAGAAGACGATGTTGGAACAGGAGCAGGCCTGTTGGAAATCAAAAAAATTGGAGATGAGTACTTTGCATTCATCACTGAGTGCAAGGACCCCAAGGCCTGCACCATTCTCCCTCAGGGGGCCAGCAAAGAGATTCTCTGGGAAGTAGAACGCAACCTCCAGGATGCCATGCAAGTGTGTCGCAACATTCTCCTGGACCCCCAGCTGGTGCCAGGTGGTGGGGCCTCTGAGATGGCTGTGGCCCATGCCTTGACAAAAAAATCAAAGGCCATGACTGGTGTGGAACAATGGCCATACAGGGCTGTTGCACAGACCCTGGATGTCATTCCCCGTATCTTGATCCAGAACTATGGGGCCAGCACGCTCCATCTGCTCACCTCCCTTTGGGCCAAACATACCCAAGAGAACTGTGAGACCTGGGGTATAAATGGTGAGACGGGTACTTTGGTGGACATGAAAGAGCTAGGCATATGGGAGCCATTGGCTGTGAAGCTGCAGACATACAAGACTGCAGTGCAGATGGCAGTTCTGTTGCTGCGGATTGATGACATTGTCTCAGGCCACAAAAAGAAGGGCGATGACCAGAGCCAGCAAGGCAGGGCTCCTGATGCTGGCCAGGAATGAGTGCTGGGCGAGGTGACTTCAACACACAAAACCAGCAGAGTCTCCCCCTTTCCTGAGCCAGAGTGCCAGGAACGCTGTGGATGTCTTTGTCGGGAAGGGATCAGGTTGAGGGGCAACCCCATTCCCTTTCTGTCCTAGCTCGGTTTGCAAAGAGCACTGACATGTAATTCTTCTCTATTGTAAGGTTTCCATTTAGTTTGCTTCCGATGATTAAATCTAAGTCATTTGAGAGAAGAAAAAAATAATAATAATTTCAGGGTAAAAACTGGCTTTAACGTCTGAATTGAAGGCAAAGATTGGGAACGGTTTATCCCTATCCCCAGTGCTTAGCACAGGGCCTGGTGCACTGCAAGTGTGTGAATGTCTTTAATGAATAATGAGAAGTCATGTTTCCAGAACAGCCTGGGTCAGCAGCGAAGAGGTGGGTTGCTCGAATTCACCAGAGCACTGACCGAAGCCCCATGGCGATTTTCTTCCCATCATCAGCGAAAATCTGCATATATCATAGATAGAAGACCTTGTTTTTAGGCAATTGATTACTCTTTCAAATAAATATCTGCTCCAGAATCTATATTGCAAGACATTGTTTTCTATTTTTATCCTTATTGTTTAGTTTTCTTCCTCCAAGAAACCTTGCCTGTTATGGAAATATATAGGGGAAGACAATATTGCTGTTACGCTAGTTATCCTTGTGTAAATTGATCCTCTGTCTTTTCCAGCCAGAGTGTTTAGCTCGTTGAGGACAAGGCCGCTGCTCCCTGCTTCCTAGTTTATTCCCTTGTACATAATCAGTGCTGAGTTGATGTCTGCTGACTGCTCATTCTGGTCATGCAGCCAGACTGGCAAGATCCAAGCAGTGGACAATAGGTATAAATGTGTTCTATAAGATGAGAAAAAAACATGTGCTTCCTCATTCTTTCCAAGTTATTGCCAGTCAGACAGGAACCTCAAATTCTGAAGTGGTTTGTTTACTGATAGTAATTATTAAAGTCTCCAGATTCAGAACTTGGTCAGTGTTTTTCTTTTCCCCTTTTATAATTTGGGTATCTCTCTTCCATTCCCCTTTAAACTGATGGAGCCATCTTGTATATTTTTTAAATGAGTATTCACAGGTCCTTTATATTTCTGGAGGAAAAAATACAAACTTTTCTTGAAATACAAACTTTTCTTGAAATGTCTCTGTGGTTTTTCCTTGGGATTGTTCCTATGTGGTAATATTCATGTTTTTCTTATAATCAACTATCACACACATCCCTTCCACCATATAAAACAATTTAGAAACTAAACATTTTCAATGCATGCAGAAAATGGTATATAATTTTTTCTCCTTTCATGGTGGTTCTCCAAAAACCCGACTCTACAAAAGGCCTTTGGCTGCTGCCAGTACTCTAGTCTCACTGATGTGCTTGGAATGCCGGGAGAACCAGAGAAGAAGGTGACTTTTGGGGCAGAAGTGCACTGTCAGGACATTTTTCTTCTTTCTAAACTGAGCTTTCTGTGACCCAGTTGGACTCCGGCCCAGACAGAGCTCAAAGCTTAAAAACTCCAGCCACTCTCTAGGGCCAAACAGCAGCAATGTTGGGGGACCAGGGAGTGGTGGGGAAACCAACCACAGGTTCTTGCAAAAGGGCAAGGAGTAGCCACAGGGACTTCCTCCTGACAAATCCATGAAATCCCAGGAAATTGAATTCACACTGAGGCTAAGCTCCTAGAATCTTTTCTCACAAGAGGACAAGGCTTTTATACAAAAAGAGGAAGCACGTGGAAAGGAAATAAAATTGAAAACAATATCTTTTACCGAAATCCAGACGCTTCCAATGAAATTATCAAATAGGACAGGCAACAAATCTTGTTAAAATGGCACCTGGACTTTTCACTATTTGCCACTTCCTGTGTAGTGTTACGGGACATGAGGCTGAAAATCTGGCGGCACCACAAGACCAGGACTATCCATAAGCCTGTTTTCCACCTGCTCTCTGCCCACTCTGGCCTCCATTGGCCCAGAATATTGAACATACTTGATTATGTTTGCCTTGTTTACATTGTATTTTTAAAATTCCTTATTTGTTTTCAAGTGGATTTCTTTATCATTTTTAGCTCTTTTTTTTTTTTTTGAGA